CGCTACCACACCCGGCTAATTTTTTTGATTTTATTGTAGAGATAAGGTCTTGCCTGCCCAGGCGGGTCTTGAACATGCGGGCTCAGGCAATCCACTCACCTCAGCCTCCCAAAAGCGTGGGATTACAGGCTGAGCCACCGAGCCCAGCTTTTTTTTTTTTTTTTTTTTTTTTTTGAGTCGGAGTCTCTCTCTGTTGCCCAGACTGGAGTGCAGTGGCCCCTCCCGGCCACTGCAACCTCGACCTGCTGGGCTCCAGCGATCCTTCCGCCTCAGCCTTCCAAGTAGCTGGAACTACAGGCGTGCGCTACCACGCCTGGCTTATTTTTTTGATTTATTGTAGAGATGAGGTCCTGTCAAGTTGCCCAGGCAGGTCTCGAACCTACGAGCTCAGGCAATTCACTCACCTCAGCCTCCCAAGGTGGGGGATTACAGTCTGAGCCACCGAGCCCGGCCACAATATACATTCTTAATTTTTTAGTCTACTCAGTTAATGTGCCACTTTCTCTTTTTTTCCAACTCTTTAAAGATCTTATTCCACTGTCTTCTGGCCTCTGTTGTTTGTGATGACAAATCAGTGGATATTCAAATGGTTGTTTCCTTTATAGAATGTATCTTTTTCTTTGACTGTTTTCAGGTGGGCCTAAGTGTGGTTTTCTATATATCTATCTTGAAGTTTGATGAATGTTTTTACTCTGTAAATGTATGGCATTAATCAGATTTGGGGAAATCTTGGCCATTGTTTTTTTTCAGATCTCTCTCCTCTCCTGGGTCTTCACTTACAAATATTCTAAACCTCTTTATAGTCTCTGAAGTCCCTGATTCTGTATCTTGTTTTTGTTTTTGTTTTGTTTTTTCTTCCCCTCCAAACACTCCTCTCTGTTCTTTTGATAATTCCTGTCCGATAGCCAAGTCGACGGTGAGTTCCTGTGAGTTCCTCCAAAGTTCCTGTTGGAGCAGTCCGCGTCTTGCCAGAATGGGCCTGCCTTAGTAACCACCCTTGATTATCGGCTAGAAAGAGTCCCCAGAATGTGTGGCCTGAGTTAACCTGGTGACCCCAGAGTCGCTCAATTGTGCTTTTCCACTGCAGGAGATCAGAGAGGCATAGTTCATGACTGCCATTGTATGTTTTTCTGTTTCTTAGGAAGGATTATTTTTCTAGTTTGAATAGTTAAAAACAAATTTTTTTCATATTATATGGATACCTGTCCAGAACTTTAAAAGCATCCTCAAAGGGAGAAGGGAAAAACGGAGATGTGGTGAAGGCTTACTTTGCAAGATTAGAGGCTCAGCTCGGGGAGCTGCAGGCAGCCCTGCCCAGAGGGTTTCTTTTCTGTGGTGGCAGCTTGAAGTTGGCTGGGCTAGTGCCCCTTTCCTAATTGGCCTGGTTGTCCTCTTCAGGTTGCCAGAGCATCTGTTAGTGAAGTTTCAAGGTTAGAAGTGTCCTCCATGCCCTGGTTTATTTAACGTGGAAGTGTGAGCTGTCCTTGTCCTGCTCCCCACAGGCAAATAGACCTTGACTAGCAAAGTGAAAAAGACTGCATGATTCTGTAACTACCTTCTCTTGTAGCATTGAAGGTTGGGTGTAAGAAGACCCACGGGGAGCAGACTCTGATGGCCTTGCCACTCAGCCCGCACTGCTCTGCACATGGGGATGTTAATGGGCTTTGCTGTGGGTCCACGTCACCCTCATGTTTGAATAGGAGATAACCACCTTCCTCCTTTCTTTTCCAGTACTAATATAGAGTTTCCTCGTTATACTCTTGGTCACTTCAGATGGGAGTTTGCAAAAGTAAATTAACAAATATACTTTGATGATTTGAACTAGCATCTGTTAGTGAAGTTTCAAGGTTAGAAGTGTCCTCCATGGCCGGGCTCGGTGGCTCAGCCTGTAATCCCAGCACTTTGGGAGGCAGAGGCAAGTGGTTGCCTGAGCACACAGGTTTAAGAGCAGCCCGGGCAACTTGACGAGAACTCTTCTCTACCTTAAGCAGAAAATTAGCCCGGCATGGTAGTGACATACCTGTAATTTCTGCTACTTGGAAGACTGAGGCGGAAGAATTGCTGGAGTCCAGCAGGTCTACACTAGGGTGGCCGAGAGTATGCCAGTGTGCTCCAGCCTGGGCAACAGAGTGAGACTCCAACTCAAAAAAAAAAAAAAGCCCTAGAAAGTCTAGTAACTTAATACCAGGTGTTATCGATTCTGTTACCAATTCTGATAATCAGGTGTTATCAATTGCTGGTTCTGATCAAAATCATGAAAGTACATGCCTGTAGTCCTTGCTACTTAGGAAACTGAGGCAAGAGGATCAGCTGAGTCTAGGAGGTCAAGGCTGCAGCGAGCTATGATTGCACCACTGCACTCCAGCTTGAGCGACAGCAAAACCATCTCTGCTTAAAAAAAAATCATGAAAGTATTGACTGTTCAACTTCTTGGCTCTATTATTTGTGTGTCTACACTATAATACAGGAAAAGATATTAGAGAATCCATGTGGCCCTGTGTCACACAGGTTGTTGCTATAAGCCCCTTGCCTATTGGTCCATGTCTGGGAGGGAAGTTGATTCAGTCAATGCCAATCAACTCTCATGTATTTTGTGTTACTTTTCTGTCACCTTCATGAAATTTCCTTTGAGAAAAACTAGTGT